CACACCCACTCACACACTCACACACACACACACACACACTCACACACACTCACACACTCTCACACACCCACTCACACACTCACACACACTCTCACACACTCTCTCACACACTCTTTTACACACACACACACACACACACTCACACACACGCGCACGCCCCCCCCCACGCGCACACTCACTCACACACACTCACACACACTCACACACACTCTCTCACACACACTCACACACACTCACACACACTCTCTCACACACACTCACACACACTCACACACTCTCTCTCACACACACTCACACACACTCACACACACTCTCTCTCTCTCTCACACACACACACACACACACACACACACACACACTGATGTTGCTCAGGGTGGGGCTGGTGGGGTAAGCAGCTGTGAAGTGCGGAGGGCCGAGAGGCATTTTTAAAAATATATTTTATCGATTCAGAGAAGAAGGGAGAGGGAGAGAGAAACATCAATGACAAGAGAGAATCATGGCTCTGCTGCCTCCTGCACACCCCGACTGGGGATGGAGCCCGCAACCCGGGCCTGTGCCCTGACCGGGAATCGAACCGTGACCTCCTGGTTCCTAGGTCGATGCTCAGCCCCTGAGCTATGCCGGCCGGGCCCGAGAGGCATGTTTAAGAGCAAAGCTTTGGACCTGGCTGGTCTGGCTCCGTGGATAGAGAGTCGGCCTATAGACCGAAGGGTCCTGGGTTCGATTCTGGTCAAGGGCACGTACCTCAGTTGCAGGCTCCTCCCCAGCCCAGGCCCTGGTTGGGGTGTGTGCAGGAGGCGACCCATTGATGTGTCTGCCTCACATTGATATTTCCCTCTATCTCTCCCTCTCTCTTCCACTCTCTAAAAATCAATGGGAAAATATCCTTGGGTGAGAACTAAAAAAAACCCACAAAAATGAGCAAAGCTTTGGCCCAGTCCAGCCTCTGAGTGACGTCCTTATCGCTGGTGGAGGAGGACTAGCCCCGGAGACAGAAGGGCCATGCGGCCTGGGCCGTCGGTGCTGGGTGTGGGGAGAGTCCCGGACCAGCTCCGCCTGGGGCGCCTTGACCCGTGTCCCTCTCCCTCCAGCCCCACCACTGAGTGTGGCCTCCCCAGTGGGGACTGTGTGGTGGAGCAGCCCCGGAGGGCTGCCTGGAGGAGTCTCCCCCCCTCAGTCCCAGTGGCTGCCTCCTGTGCTCTGGGCCCTGCCTGCTTCCACGAGACCTCGACCCCGTGGAGCACAGAGCTCGGGCCACGCCCCAAAGGTGCCTCCCGCTCCGGGCCCACCGAGCCCCCTGCTGAGAGAGGAGCACCCGCTTCCACTCGCTCTGTGACCCCAAGCCCAGGCCCGCCACTCCCCAGCCCCCACCTGCCATGGCATGGGCTCCACCACTGCCTCTGCTAGACAAACGGGGAAACTGAGGCTCTAAAAGGTTAAACGATGTGTGTGTGTGTGTGTGTGTGTGTGTGTGAGAGAGAGAGAGAAAAAGAGAGAGAGAGAGAGAGAGAGGGAGAGAAAGAGGAAGAGAGAGAGAGGGAGAGAGAGAGGGAGAGAGAGAGAGAGAGAGAGAGAGAGAGAGAGATATTTCACAGGGAACCAAAGAATGGCTGTTTTATTATTGTTTTTTTTGTTAAATATATTTTATTTATTTTACACAGAGAGGAATTGAGAGGGACAGAGAAACATCGACCAGCTGCCTCCTGCACACCCGCCACTGGGGATGTGCCTGCACCCAAGATACATGTCCCTGACCGGAATTGAACCCGGGACCATTCGGTCCGCAGGCCGACGACTCTATCCACTGAGCCAAACCGGTCCCGGCAAGAATGGCTGTTTTCGTGTGAAGGGGAAGTATGTTTTCTCCCATGAGACTGGAGAACCTGGAAGACTCCAGCTCCAGGGAAATTCACAGCGTGCAGTGCAGCGGGCTACCTAAGGCAGGCGTGACTAACAGCGGGGGAAGTCAGGGGAGGCTTCTTAGAAAAGGAGCATTTGAGCCGGGCTTTGAAGGGTGAGTAGGAGTTTTCCCCGGCTCTTCCAGGTCGAAGGACGGCGCGGGGACCCTCTGGAGGGAGCGCAGAGCGGCGGGCAGCGTGGAGAGCCCGTCCTGGGCCCAGGGGAGGCCAGGCAGGGCAGGGAGGAGCCTGGACATGCTGAGGGGAAGGCAAGGCGGGGCTGGTGTGGGAGCACCACACAGAGGAGGCGGGAAGGCTAATGAGGAGGCCGAGATAGGCTGGTCCCGGGTAGGGCAGAGGGCAGCGGCCGGAGGGCAGTTGGGAGGGAGGCCCTAGCCGGTTTTGCTCAGCAGATAGAGCATTAACCTGCAGATCGAAGGGTCCCTGGTTTGATTCCCAGTCAGGGCACATGCCTGGGTGGCAGGCTCGATCCCCAGTGTGGGGCGTGCAGGAGGCAGCGGATCAATGATTCTCTCTCATCATTGATGTCTCTATCTCTCCCTCTCCCTTCCTCTCTCAAATCAATAAAAAATATATTAAAAACAAACACCCACACATGGACCAGGGCAGCCGCCAGGCTGAGCCTCATCGGGCTTGCTCAATGCTCATCCCATGAGCACCGTGCCCCTGGGCCCTCCCTTCGCGCCCCCTGGAGAGAGATGGTCTCGCTCCTGTTTCAGCCAGGGAACCGGCTGAATTGGTGAGACCGAGGGGAATGCCCAGAACCAAGCGCTTGGCGCCCGGTCCAGGCCAGAGGGAGGTGGGGTGAAACCAGGCCGTGGGGATGGGTGAGGAGGACGGAACCTCCAGGGCCTCCTCCATCTCGGATCGGAGACACAGGAGGCGCTGGCCTGGGGGTGGTGAGAGGCATTGATTTCTGGCAAAGCTCAGCCCCGCTCTCCAGAAACTCGCCCAACAGGTTGGTGTGGCAGGGCTGCCAGCCTGTGCTGGCTTCCACCTCCATCTCCAGGAGGAAGGGGCCGCTGGGAGCTCCCTAATCCTCCGCCTTCTTTCTGGCTCCTCAGGCCCCCTGCCTCTGGCATCACTGTGGGCTGCTGTGCAGGGGGGAGGGTCCCCCGAGGGGAGCCAGCCGGCCACGCCCCACCCCCCTCACTTGAGGTGGCCCCGGCCCAGCACCCTCTGCTCAGTGGGCAGCTGCCAGGCCAGGCCCAGGGGCTGGGGCGGGGCCAGGTGACTCGGGGGACATCAGGACACTCAGTGCTTGGGGTGATGGATGTCCCAGGGAGACCTGGCCCAGACTGGCCTCCTGGCATCTGTCCCCAAACCCGGTGCGGAGGAGGGCGGTGAGGCCAGGGAGGCACAGCATAAGGACCCATCTCCAGCGCCCCCTCCCCACGGCGAGCAGAATCCTCCGGGGCCCAGCGCCCAGGCCCGGCCCCGCTCCCTCCTCCGGAGAGCCCTCCAGGATCTCCCCACCCTCCTCATGCACTCAGCACCCGTGGGTGCCACGGCGTTGGCTCGCTAGCCCCTGGCTCTGCCCCTCACAGGCTGGGTGACCACCGCCCTCAGGGCCTTCCCGCTTCAGCTGTGAGCGAGACCAGAGCCCGACCAGGAGCTCCAGGCCACCCCGCCTGCCTCAGCCCACACGCCTCAGCTCCCGGGCGTCCTGTCCCCAGGCCTCCCGGGGCCACCCCACCCGCTGACGGGCCCAGCCCTGGAGAGGACTGCACGGCAGCTCCCGCCCCCGGGTGTCCTCGCCCTGATGGTGGCACAGCCGGCGCCTGCTCTTTGCACAGGTGTCCACGCTCCGTGCCACCTGCTGCAGAGCTTCCCCGAGCCCCTCCCCGCGGCCGGTGCCCCTAAAGCCGCTCTGCCCCTCACCCTCCGCGGTGGCCTTGCAGGCATTCCGGGAGTCGCAAAGGCGCTGAGACCCAGGCTGGAGCAATGAGGAGCTTCACATCCCTGAACCCCAACCCCCCCAGACCTGCTCCCCAGGTGCCGGCCAGGGCACCCCCGCCAGCCTCCCCTTTAGTCCAATGGGCCTCTCCTGTTGGCACATCTCGGGCTGGTGCTCCTCTGCCCCCGCCCTGGCAGCGGCCTTCCCTCCCGCCTCATCCTCCCGGGAACCAGAGCCGAGAGGACAGAGCTGCCTGCCCCCTCTCCTCCCCCCCCCCCCCCCCCCCCCCGTGCTCCCATGGCCCCTGAGCCCGGGGGACCCAGACAGACAGCGGGGACCGTGAGGACAGACCGAGGGGACCCGTCCGTGCGCAGACGCGGAAGAGGCCCACGGCTCCATGAACAGGAGCAATTTTATTGCCATCGTAGAAAAATCAGTGGGAGGACAGACTAGCAAACGTGTGTGTGTGTGTGTGTGTGTGTGTGTGAGAGAGAGAGATAGTGATTGTCTTAGGAAGTCCCCTCAGATGCCGTCTCCTTTGCTCTCAGGGGCGGCAGGCCCTTCCCGGCGGGGGGAGCAAGGTCAGCGGGGCCAGCGGAGCGGCCAGCGAGACCAGCTCTGAGGACCCAGGGCTCTGCCCTGGGGGCGGGGTGGGGGCTCCGCTGGGCGCTGAAGCTTGTCCCAAGTCCTTGTCCTTTCGCCGCCTCCCGTGCGGGGCTGGGGGAGACGGGGGGACACAGCCCGGCGGGGTGGCGGTGGGCTCTCCGCGGGGAGCTGGGGTCCCCGGAGCTCTGGGGGCTCAGGGCAGAGAGGCGGGGCGAGGAGAATAAATAAATAAATATGTGTGACTGCGCGGCCCGGCCTGGCCTGCTCCCCACCAGGGGACGTCATGGTCCCCCCTTCCGCTGGCCGCCATCCTCCCTGAGAGTCTGAGAGTCGGGCTGGGAGGGGGGCCGCCCTGCCCTGCAAGCTGAGACTTCGGAGTCTCAGGCGAAGTCTGCGGAGCGCGGGGGGCTGGGCAGCGAGTTGGCCCGGCCCTGCCCACGGGCAGCCGGGGCCTGCCCGGCTCCTCTCCTCTGGCACGGGCTCCCCCAGGTCCAGCTGCCTGGAGCCCGTGGGCACCGGGGTGCCCGGAGGAGGGACGGCGGAGGCCGGAGTCCAGGGGGCCTGGCCCCGGAGGGCGGTCAGAGCCGGAAGGGGTACTGGCGGAGGTAGTCGGCCATGCGCCGGGGCAGCGGCAGGCGGTCCACGTCGGCCGCCAGGCGGTGGATGGCCAGGCGGCACAGGTGCTGCAGGCTGGGCGCGCGGCTGCGCGGCACGAAGGGCTGCACCAGCTTCAGGTGCACGGCCGTGGCGGCGGGGCCGGGCAGCGCGGCGTCCCCCGCCTCCTCCTTGGGGGCCGGCGGGGCCGGGGCGGGCGCGGGGTCCGGGCCGTCGGCGCGGCCGTCGGCGGCGCAGGAGGCCACGTAGTGCTGCACGAGGCTCACCACGTCCGGGAAGGCCAGGATGCGCGGCCGGGACAGGCAGTTGGAGTCCAGGCGGAAGCTGGAGTCGGCGTACTCGATGCGCACGTTGGTGGGGCCGCGCGTGGTCTTGACGGACAGCGTGAACAGGTAGCTGGGGTGGGTGCTGTCCCGGACCAGGAACGTGCCCTCCGGCATCTTCTGCAGGTGCTGCCGGGCCTCGCTGGCCGTGATGGAGCCCCAGTACCAGCCTGGGCAAGCGGGGGGGAGGAGAGGGCGCGAGAGGTTGGTCACCGTGGAAACGGTCTGGGGGCACCGAACCAGGGCAGGACCCGGTCTCCCCTTCACGCCTCCCCCGGCACCCGGGCAGGGCCTGGCCTCCCCGGTCCCGCTGTCCTCGGAGCTAAGCTCCCTCTCTCGGCTCGGCGGGAAGGCCTGCCGCTGGCACTCACCGGACTCCCGCAGGTAGGAGAAGGTCTTGGCTATGCACAGCAGGTCCTCCTCGGGGTCGCGCACCGTGGGCTCGCTCTCGGGCTGGGCCGGGGCCTCCTCGGCCGCCGCCTCCAGGAAGGGCCCGGCAGGCAGCGGCTGCATAACTGGCTCAGGCTGGGCCCGCCGGGGCAGCTGCCCGCGCTCCGGAGCCGGCAAAGGACAAGGTCTGGAAGGGAGTGAGGGGCGGTGAGGGGAGGCCCTGTGCTCTCCCCACCTCCGAGGATCCCCAACAGTCCCCTGTGCCCCAGCCTGGGCACGCGACCCTGTCCAGCCCATCTCCCTGGGACCCTCAGCCTCCCCTCTGCCCAGCCCTGGCTCAATGCGTCCGGCACCCGCTTGCCACCGTCATCGCAGAATCCCCCCCGACTGCTCCCCTGCGCGCGGCTTCTCCGGAAAGATGCTCGGCTCTCCGGCGTTTGTGGTTCAGGGAGCGGTCGCTGTCTCTGTGGCCACGCCATCCCTGGGGGCATTTCTAACTCCCAGTGGCCAGCTGGCTGCCCACCACGCTGACTGGACCCAGTGCCAAGGCCCCTCCCACGGGGGCCCTCCTGGCTGAGCCGTGGGCGGACCTAGGTCCACACTGGGCATCGTCCTGTCCTGCTCCCTGCTCCTCCCGGCGCTGGCAAGTCCCGCCTCCCACCAACATGAGCTCCTGCCAAAGGGCAGGTCTGCGTGCCCCCTCCGATCCCACCCTGGCCGCCAGCCCCACCGGGCCCTGCGATTCTATGCAAACCTTGCTCTTCGCTAGAACCGCCCAGAGGTTCGCCGGCCCAGACCGATTCTCCGGCCACGGCGCATCCCCGGCTGGCCAGCCCCAACCTGAGCCCAGCATGCTGGCCGGCGTCCTGGCAGGGGGGCACCGGGAAGGGACAGCTGGCCCTCCCTCACGGCTCCATACTGCACCCCTGGGCCTCAGCGCCGGGTCTGGTCCTGGCTGGTCCAAGGAAACACGGGCCCGACCCTCAGGGAGAGCTTATCTCTGAGTCACAGCGCCCAGGTGTCTCGGGGAGCCAGGTCTCCCTGCTCCTGAGCCGCGCCCGCCAGGCCACAGGAAGGACTGGGGAAGGCCCTCCGGGCAGAGGTGACAGCAGGGGAAACGGTGCCAGATGCTGCCCGGGCAGCAGGAAAGGGGGGGGGGGGGCAGGAGCCAGCCACCAGCCGACAGAGCACGTCCAACAATGAGGTTAGAGGTGACCCTTCGGAGACTAACAGGTCCCTAAGCAGCACGGGCAGAGGGGGCCGCGCGCCCTGACACACCCCAGCCTGCCTGACACCTCTCCCTCTGGCTGCACCCTGGGACTGGAGTCCCCCTCGGGCAGCCGGAGGCAGTGTTCCGAGGTCCTGGCTGGGGGCCTGTCCGTTGGGCCTCGGTGCTCAGCTCAGGCCCAGGAACCTCCCAGCGCGGTCGGCGGTTAGCCAGTCAGGCCGGAGCCTCTGGGGGCGGCCGCGTCTAGACAGCTTACCCGGCGCATGTGGGCGTGGGCACGGCGGTGTTGGGCCCACAAGTTTCTGGTGAGTGACTGAGTGTCTGGGAGGGGTGTGCCCGTGGCTGTGGCATCGGCATGGCGGGGGAGGCGGCCGGCATGTTCCAGGTGTGGGCGGCCTATCCCTGTGCCTAGCCCTGGAGTTCCGCCTGGGGACACGTGCCCACGGGGCAAACAGCCCTGAGGGGGGACCCGGCCCTCCAAAAAGCGGGCAGCCCAAGCCTGCAGCTGGGAATTGCTTCCCCTTCCCAGGAGGCCTGGCTGCCATGGCTGGGTGCGTGGAGAGCGTCAAGCCTTGCCCCCACCTCTGGCCCTGAGCTTCAGCTGACGCAGAGTGAGAGGGTGGGGGGCCCTAGACCTGGGGGAGCTGAGGAAGGCAGGGTGGGGGGCGGCGAGGTGTGTGGGAGTCCCAGAACTCAGGGAAAAGGGGGGAGATGCTAGAGACGAGGTGGGGGGGATAGAGAAGTACGTTCTTCCTGGCACCTCCAGGTCCCTCCTGGAAACGGGACCGCCCGCTCCACTCCGAGCAAGGGCAAGGGGCACACCAGCTGGCCCCACCTGGCACCCTGCCTCACCCGGTACCACCCCGTTCTGACACGGGCTCCCTGGGCCACCGGCTCTCCCCGCGGCTCTCTGAGCTGCCGGTCCGTCTGGGGTGCGCAGACCCCTGGCGGAAGGTGACGCCGAGGGTCTGGGCGCTGGGAAGGGACGGCAGGAATGTGCCAGGAATGCTGCGCCCGGGCCAAGACGGTCTTATCGGCCCCGCCACCCCGCAGGCTTGGGGAGAAGGGAGGCAGGGTCCCAGGCCGGGCTGTGAGGAGGGGCGGGGGGCGGGCAGGCAGGACCGGGCCAACCCCAGCTTCTCCCAAGAGCTGCTGGCTGGCGGATGCCAGCGTGAGGCGAGCCACGGCTCTCAGGCTGCTTCCCAAGAAGGGCCGGTGGCGGGGCGGGCGCGGGGGCGGGCCGGCCGGACAGAGCCCGCAGCAGGCCGGGCGGCGGCGGGCCAGGAGCGCGCTGGGCCCAGGGGTCCGGGCCGGGGAGCCGGCCTCGGAGGACGTGCTGCCAGGGGGACCCGGGGCCCCAGAGCCCGGCGGAGCGCACCTGTGCGCCCCCGGCGCCAGCCGCCCCGGCTCCCCGGCGGCGGCGGAAGGTCGCCGTCCCCGGCGGCACCCACGTCCTGCGCTCCGGTCTCTCCGGCCCGGCGCTCCCCCGGCGGCGGCCCGGGCGGGCGGGGAGGAGGCCGGGCGGGGCGCCTACTCACCCCTGGACGCAGAGGACCATGTCCCGGCGGCGGCGCCCGGACCGGGCTGGGCGGCAGGAGGCGCGGGCGGCGGGCGCGGGCGGCGGGCCGGACTGGGACGCGGACGGGACGGGACGGGACGGGAGGCGCCGGCGCGGGGGGCGGGCCGACGGCGCGGCGGGGCGGGGCGGCCGCCTAATCTTGTGTCCCCGCGGCCGGCCCTTCCCGGAAGCCACGTCTTCCTGGAACGCGGGCCCGGGCGGGCGGCCCCGGAGGAAGACGGCGCCCGGTTTCCAGGAACTTTCCAGGAAAAGGGGGCGGGGCCCCGGCGCCGGCCTATCGCAGCGCGGGGGCGGGGCCTGGGAGGCTGACGCGCTCCGCCTTGAACTTGACCCGGAGGCGGGCCGGGGGGACCCGGTCTGGGGGCCGGGCGGGGCCGCTCTGTCCTCCGCGCCCTCACCCGCCAGGGCAGGGCCTGCGGTCTGTGCAGATTAAGGTGAGCAGACGTCCCGCTTTGGGCGGGACAGTCCCGATTTTTAACCATTTGTCCCGAGGCCCCTGGCGTTTTAAAAAAGTCCCCATTTTTAGCCAAAACCGGTGTGGCTCAGTGGATAGAACGTTGGTCTGCGGACTGAGAGGTCCCGGGTTCGATTCTGGTCAAGGGCATGTGCCTTGCTTGCGGGGCACATCCCCAGTGGGGGGTGTGCAAGAGGCAGCTGATCGATGCTTCTCTCTCATCGATGTTTCTAACTCTCTATCTCTCTCTTCCTCTCTGTAAAAAAAATCAATAAAATATATATTTTTTAAAATGTCCCAATTTTTGGAAAGATGCTCGACAAGCTAGGGAACGGCAGGAGAACGGGAAAGGAATGTACGGTTTTCGGCGGCCATGTAGCTATTTAGCCAGGATATGAGTTTTATATTGTCTTTGTTATAATTTTATAATGTTAAACTTTAATAATAACAAATAATTGTTGAGAACTGATTATCGAGAACTGCTTATCAAAGTTCGCCTTGGTGATCAGTTGTTAGAATTGTGGAATACGCGCTGTCCTTACCAGGAACTAAAGCTGTGACTGAACGCGTTTTTTTTCTACGGTAAATAAAGTGTGGACATCAGAAGTATCACAATTAAGTGTTGAGACTTTGAAAGCCATTTTATGTGCAAAATATAATTTAACAAATTCTTGTGAAAATTTTCATGTCCTTTTAACCAACAACAGCAATCTACTAAAAAAAAATTCACTCAAATGAGAAATATGCCAAAGAATAAAATAATACTATACATAATTTTTAAATTTATTATATTTGTAAATTGTACTTATGTTGAAAATTTAAAAAATATATTACAATACTATTTTTGCGTTCTATGAAAATTTTTGTTACTCCATAGAGACCAAATTTTTAATCAAGGACCTCCCCCGGTTAATGGTGTCCGCTTTACCAATGTTAAAATCTGGTCACCTTAGTGTAGATGGCAGCAGGTGGGCAGGTCCCAGGCCTCCGAGGCTGTCCGGGGTGTGCCAGTGCCTCTGGAACCCCTGGACTCTGGGTGTAGGGTGGGGTGGGGAGGTAAGTAGCATGGGGTGGGGTTTGGAGAGGAATATGGTGGGGGGGAGGAAGGGTGCAGAGGGGGCCCCCAGATCCAAGCAGGTCCGCAGGGGTCTAGTCTGTGGCTGTCACAGCCGAAAGGATCCAGGCCAAGAACCTCTGGAAAGTTCGGGAGAAGGAACACGTCTGAGCCTCTTGCACCTGCAAGGCCATCCGGTCTCCGCCCATGCTGGCCCCTGGCCGCCTGCCAATCAGGGAAGTGAGGACCCATGGGGTGTGGAGGAGGCAGGCAGGGATGGTCAGCCCCCAGGCGGCCACACGGCCCAGTCCACCTTTTCTCCGAGCTGGTGTGTCTCCAAAACTGCGGAAGTGAGACCTGGGACTGCACACATCCGGAGTTTCACTGAGGGAGGGGGTGAGGGGAGAGGGCGGAGCCTGACACCCGATCCCGATCCCATCCACGTGGAGCTGAGTTGGATCCTCCACAGCTGGCATTGCCCCCATTTTGCAGACCAGAAGACCGAGCCCCAGGGAACAGAATGCCTTGCTGGGCCGGAGCAGGGTGGGAGTCTGATCCCAACTTTGGATCCGGAGCTCACATGCCCACCCGTGGCCTTCTCCGCCTTCCCCGTTTCCTGGGCTCACCGAGGAGCAGGTGCAAGGCCTGGGGCTGCGCACACCTCCTCCGAGCCCTCCGGCCGGAAGGAGGGTGAGAGGGTCGGAGAAGTGGCAGGGTCCAGCCTCCTTACCTCCCCCCGCCCAGGGTATGCCCCAGGTTTCCGCGGAAGAAGAGGGGCTTAGGTCACCCACTTTGAGGGCTGGGGCACCCGGAGAGCCCGGCATAGGGCCCCTGGTAAGGCAGTTCTTCAGTGGGAACCGTCTGCTGTCCCATCCCTGTACAAAGGGGCGTCCCTGCTGCTAAGCAGCAGAGCCAGGATCTGAACCTTGGGTTCCACTGGGCCAAGTCCCAAGCTCTCCACCCCAAGGCTCCATCCTTTCTCTCCAACGGGAGCTGCTTTTCTGAACGCCTACTCCTTGCCAGGCACTCTCAGTCATGTCCAGGCTCACTCCATTGTCTAACCACTACTTATTTCCTCTCTTTACAGATGAGGAAACTGAGGCACAGACAGGTTACCATGTGCCCTGGATCTCACAGCTGGCAGGTGGTGCCCAGGGTCCCAGCCCCTCCCCACTTCCTCTCTGGGTGCTGGAAAGCGTGCCCTGCAGAATCAGTGCCAGGGCAGACTGGGTGTAAGCTAAAAGTTTGCCCTCCCACCACCCTCTGCCCTCTAGACAGCGCTGTGCACCTCACCTGGTGCTGTGAGCGGTAGTGTGCTTCTGCGTTGCCCCCGGCGCCTGCCTGCCTGCCCCAGGTGCTGTGGGTCCCTCTGGCCACCTCACTATCACCTCTCCTGGCCTGGCAGCTCCTGGGGTGTCCCTGCAGACGGCTGGTCCCACACTGCCACCCACTGGCCATTCCTCCCTGGTTCCACTTGCAAATGCTCACCTAGATTGCCCCTTGGAAGCACCCTTCCCTGCTCCCTGGATGGGCCTTGCTCCAGATCTCCCTGCCCCTTCCCACCCAGAGCAGTCTCCAGACAGGTCACGGCAGTGCCTTCCTCTCATCGGGCTCATTGGGTGTCTATATTCTCACTAGGAACTGTCTCTCCTCTTCTGAAGGACAGTCCACATGTGTTGTGGGTGTGTGTGTGTGCGCGTGTGTGTGCTGTAACATTCCAGAGGCCTCAGTCCCGTCCCCTCGGACATGCAGGTATCATGAGGTCTGTGTGTCAGAGTCTGCCCCCACACACCCACTCCGGCCCCAGCCCAGCCGTCCCCAGTGCGGAGTCCTCCCAGCTGTGTGCAGGCGGCTGTGGCAGACAGACCGCCGCTGGGACAGGAGCAGCAAGAGGAGAAACCGTGACTGCTGGGCTGTGGAGAGCGGCTACGGCGCTGGACAGGTGCCAGCCCGGGCTAATGAGAGGGCACGGTCCTCTTGTGGCAAAGCCACGTGCAAGTCCCACACAATTGGAGCCAAAGGCGGCAGTCGTAAACTTGGCCTGATGGTCGGAACCTGTGGTTCCACGTGGCTGGGAGTGATATAGGTTGCGGGAGGGGCAGCAAGTAAACAAAGCTGGATCAGGCGATGTAGCTGAGTAGATTCCAAACGGGAGAGAACGTTGTAAATATCTTGACCACGCCCTTACTTGGCCTCGTGGAATCTGGCTATAAAATAAAGACTCACCTAGCAGGCCATGGCGCTGTCTCTCCATCAGAGAGGAGCGCCCCCCTGGCCCCAGCTTTATTCTCTTGTCTGTCTTCTTTAATCCTTCACCGCGCCCTCCCTCCCCAAGCCAGGCTCACCCATGGCTGTGCCGGCTGGGCACACTGGGTTAAAAGCAAACACCTGTCTGCGTGGGACGCAGGTGGGGAGTGTGTGGTGTGTGAGCACTGGTGTTGGCTATGGAGATTCCTTCCGGGGGAGAGGCACGGCCCCTGCTGACTTTTGTCATTTCTGCGTAGTTTGAGTTTATTATAATAAGCAAGGATTAGTTATGGAATTTTAAAATTTAAGGTAAAGGACACCAATTTAAGAAAACCAATGATAAAAATGTTAGAGGAATGGTAATCTAATGAACTCTATTTCAAATTTATTTTTATGTTTTTTAAAAAATATATTTTATTGATTTTGTACAGAGAGGAAGGGAGAGAGAGAGCTAGAAACATCGATGAGAGAGAGTCATCGATCAGGTGCCTCTTGCACACCCCCTACTGGGGATATGCCCGCAACCAAGGTACATGCACTTGACAGGAATTGAACCCGGGTCCCTTCAGTCCCCAAGCCGACACTCTATCCATTGAGCCAAACCGGTCTCGGCATCAAATTTATTTTTAAATACATTGGTATTGATTTCATAGAGGAAGGAAGAGGGAGGGAGAGATAGAAACATCAGTGATGAGAGAGAATCGTGGATCGGCTGCCTCCTGCATGCCCCTCACTGGGGATGGAGCCCCAAACCCTGGCATGTGCCCTGACCAGGAATCAAATGGTGACCTCCTGGTTCATCGGTCCATGCTCAACTCCTGAGCCATGCATTAACTCCAGTTGCAGAAAACATGTTATCTCAGAGCATGCGGCGAGAAGCCCTGGCTGGGAGCGGACCCAGCCCCCACCCTCAGCTGCCTGGTTCTTTGTTATGAGTGGGACTCTGCTCAGCCTCCGGTTCTCCTGGCCCAAACCAGAGGGAGGGTCCTTCTCCAGCTGCCAAGCCATGGAAGCTTCCAGATCTCAGGCTTCCTCCAAGGCTCTGAGATCTCAGATCAGATTCTCAGATGGGACCCAGGGACAAAGGTGCGTGAGAGTGTGTGTTCTGCGTTTTTGCATGCTGGTGTGACTGTGCATTTGTGTAAACATGTGTGGACATGTGCGTATATGTGAGCTGTGTGAGAGTCTATGTGAATATGTAGATGTGGGCGGGGCCAGGGAGTCACACCAGAGGAGAGCCTAGTTTGAGGGTTTGGGCTGGGTCCGCTTGGTGTCCAGAGCTGGCCCTGGCGGTGTCCTTTGGGGTTGGGATGGGGGCTACTGACCTCTGGCAGCGGGCTTGACCTCCCAGCATCCTGCCTGCCTGTCTGTCGTGTAGGCTCTATGGGATGGGCACAGCCCTCGCTTTTCCAGTCCAGTGAGATCGTTGGGTGCCAAGGTAGAGCACTGACCCAGCGTCTGATCGCAAAGAACGGTTCAGCAGGTCAGCTGAGGCTGCCACTAGGCCTCCTGTTTCACAGAACCCTGCTGGTTTGAAGGTCACCTTGGGCTCCGTTAGCCTTAAAGGGCCTTCCATTCAATGTCTGTACACAGCGGGTCCCCGCTCACCAGGAGCTACTGCTCTGAAGAGCCTGGACCCGAAGCCCAGGCATCCACGTGCGTCTGTGAGGCATGTGGGGAGGGGGAGGGAAGAAGGGGCGGGTCGCTGGTCCCCAATCCCAAAGCCCGGAGCAGGTCAGAGACACCTGTGTGTGGGACAGGGGCCCGGAGCTGCGGTCCCGCGGGTGTCCTGTAGATGGCAGCAGAGGCACGCGGAGGGAAGCTGTTCAGAGTCGCACCTGCCTAGTCCAGGTGAGCCTCCCGGTTCGGTTCGGTCCCTCGGCCTCGGGGTGGGGGATGGGACGAGGACACACGCAGGCGTGGAGCAGATTTGTCCAAGGAGACACAACACCCCCTGCGGCTCTGGACAAGTTGCTTCTCCTGGGTGAAATAAGAGTTTGTGGTGGGAAAATTGGCTCAAAATAAGTAAGGAAGCCTAAGAACAGACCTACACGTGGAAGGGGAAATCACAAAGCTAATAGGAGAACCTGTCACCGGGGTGAGGGAGGAGGAGAGGTTTTATTTCTCATTTATTTTAGCGAGGGAGGAAAGGAGAGAGAGAGAGAGAGAAATAGAAATAGAGAGAGTGAGAGAGACATGGGTGTGAGAGAGACACAATGATCAGCCGCTTCCTGCAAGCAAGGGCCTCCACGGGGAACGAACCCATGACCTCCGGTGCTCAGGCTGAGACCCCAACCAACCGAGCCACACTGGCCAGAGCAGGAGACGTTTTATTTTATTATTTTATTTAAAAAATATATATATTTTATTGATTTTTTACAGAGAGGAAGAGAGAGGGATAGTTAGAAACATCGATCAGCTGCCTCCTGCACACCCCCTACTGGGGATGTGCCTGCAACCAAGGCACATGCGCTTGCCCGGAATTGAACCTGGGACCTGATTTCAGTCCGCAGACCGACGCTCTATCCACTGAGCCAAACCGGTTTCAGCAGGAGGAGACGTTTTAAACACGATCCTAAAAGCCCAAACTTTAAGGGGAAAATTAAATGGGAATTTAGGCTTTCTGAGTTAATGATGTCTCCCAAGGGAAAAAATAAGCTAAAGGTATGAGCAGGGGGTGCACACAAGGAGAGAGATGCCAGCGGCGGAGAGACGCGAACCACAACGAAATGCTCTCTCACTCAGCAGGCGGGCAAAAATCAAGAGTTTAGACTGGGCCCCGGGAAGGAAGTCTCAGGCTTACAAGCCCATGGGAGGCGCCAAAAGAGAACAAAAAAAATAAAACCGACTCAAGTGGAGGAACAAGACTTCCTAGCTCGCTCCTAAAATCAGCGGCTCGCCCAGCGCAGGCTGGGGGGACCCCTGTTCGGCCAGGGAGGTCCCGGGAGCCCGAGAGGTCGCCGCCCGAAACCACGCCCCCTTTTATGCAAATACACCTCGGGCGGGGCCTGCCTTGGGCTCCCGCCCCGCCCCGTCCCGCCGCGGAACGCCTGGCCCTTTAAGGCTGCCCAGGCCCGGCCTCCGGTTGTGGGCGCGCGGGGAGGGGTGCGGTCACGTGGGCCGCGGGCGGCAAGACTCGCGGCTCCGGCGCCGTGGCCGCGGCTCCCGCTCCCGCCGCCCCTGCCCTTCGCCCGCGCCGCGGCCCGGTGCCCTGCGGTCCGGTACGCGCTCGCCAGGTGCCCTGCCCGCGCCCCTGCGCCGCCCGTTCCCGGGACCCACGGCCCCTGGCGCACCCATAGGTGCCGGGCGGCTTCGCTGGCGCCCGGAGGCGGCGCGATCCCCGCCCCTGCGGCGCGTCCGTCCGAGCCTGGGCAGTTGGTCCCCAGCGCGCCCCCAGCCCGCACCCCCAGCCCCGTCCGGCTCGGGGCGCCGCGGCTGGGGTGTGTAGTGGAGGCTGGGGAGTGTTGGAGGAGGCTGGGAGTGTTGGAGGAGGCTGGGGTGTGTTGTTGGAGGCTGGGGAGTGTTGGAGGAGGCTGGGAGTGTTGGAGGAGGCTGGGGTGTGTTGGAGGAGGCTGGGGAGTGTTGGAGGAGGCTGGGAGTGTTGGAGGAGGCTGGGGTGTGTTGGAGGAGGCTGGGGAGTGTTGGAGGAGGCTGGGGAGTGTTGGAGGAGGCTGGGGTGTGTTGGAGGAGGCTGGGAGTGTTGGAGGAGGCTGGGAGTGTTGGAGGAGGCTGGGGAGTGTTGGAGGAGGCTGGGGTGTGTTGGAGGAGGCTGGGGTGTGTTGGAGGAGGCTGGGTGTGTTGGAGGAGGCTGGGGTGTGTTGGAGGAGGCTGGGGTGTGTTGGAGGAGGCTGGGGAGTGTTGGAGGAGGCTGGGAGTGTTGGAGGAGGTTGGGGTGTGTTGGAGGAGGCTGGGGAGTGTTGGAGGAGGCTGGGGAGTGTTGGAGGAGGCTGGGGTGTGTTGTTGGAGGCTGGGGAGTGTTGGAGGAGGCTGGGGTGTGTTGGAGGAGGCTGGGGAGTGTTGGAGGAGGCTGGGGTGTGTTGGAGGAGGCTGGGAGTGTTGGAGGAGGCTGGGGTATGTTGTTGGAGGCTGGGGAGTGTTGGAGGAGGCTGGGGTGTGTTGGAGGAGGCTGGGGTGTGTTGGAGGAGGCTGGGAGTGTTGGAGGAGGCTGGGGTGTGTTGGAGGAGGCTGGGAGTGTTGGAGGAGGCTGGGGAGTGTTGGAGGAGGCTGGGGTGTGTTGGAGGAGGCTGGGGTGTGTTGGAGGAGGCTGGGTGAAACTCGCTCTTCCCTCCTCCCCAGGTGCCAGGCTGGGGCCGCCTCTGCGCGCCCCGCGGGGGCCATGGATGGCGAGACGGGCGAGGCGCAGGGGGGCGCGGTGCCCCCGCCGGGCGCACCCCCCGGCCCCGGCCAGGCGGGCGCCCCGGCCCTCGTGGGGCGGAGGGAGCCCAAGAAGCACGCCGTGACCGAGGACTACCAGCTGTCCAAGCAGGTGCTGGGCCTGGGCGTGAACGGCAAGGTGCTGGAGTGCGTCCACCGGCGCACCGGCCAGAAGTGCGCCCTGAAGGTCAGTGACCTCCCCGCGCCGCAGGGGCCCCGGGACCCCAGGGCCGGCCGCAGGGCCGTGCGCCTCCTGCCGCCTTCTTAGGTTCAGCATCAGGTGTCAGCCTCAGCCTCAGCCTCTGCCTCAGCCTCCCCCTCCCCGTGGGGCCAGGCTCCGTCCGCCCCGCGTTAGAGGTGGGAAACTGAGGCTCAGCCCAGCGGAGCTCCTGGTGGCCCAGGGAGCGGAGGGGTGGAGTCTGTGGGAGAGTCTGTGGACCCGGAAGTGGAGGAGTGGCCCCTGGCTGGGGTGCTGGCTGGGCTTGTTGTATTCCCGCCACCGAGAGGGGTCCTCATCCCGGAGCTGTTCTGGTGGTTGGAATGCGTCTGACCTCCTTCTGAGGCGGAGAAACCACAAAGCTTGGAGGTGGGGGGTGAGGAGGGAGGAAGTTACTCTCTCCCGCCCGCCCGCCTGCCTGCCTGGGCCCGCGGGAGCTTCCCAGGCTGCCTGGTGGGCAAGGCTGATGATGCCCATCACACCCGCGGGCAGGAGGCTGCTGACGGCTGCCGCTGAGTCACCGGCCCCGTGCGGGACAAGGCACAGCCCTGCTCCATGCCTGACCCAGCCTGGCTCCTGGGAAGAGGGCGGGCCAGCGGCTAGCCAGGGCACCCCTTAGGCTGCTCCCTGATGGAGGTGGCATCGGGCGAGTTCTGTGTGGGGTGGGGGTGGCTGGCCTAGCCACCTCGTTCTGGCTGAAGTCAGAACTTCGTTCTAGGCCCCGGACCCTGCCCCATACCCCGAATCCCTTGAATCTGAGAACTTAAGTCAACTCCAGCCTGTGGCCTCGGCCACCTGGATGGGCAGCGCCTGGCACGGAGCGTGGCTCCTGGAGGTCAGAGCCAGCAGAGGGCCTGCCCAGGGTACAGGTGGTGCCACTCTGAGCCTGAGCTCTCAGTTCTGCTCTGACCTCTGGCCTGCATTGGCCAGCTCCGTGACCTTGGACGAGGTTCTGGAGTCTTGACAGCAGGTCCTGCCTCTGTTGGGGGTTGGGGGGGAGACACGGGCTGGTGTGAGCTGGGGAGGAGACGATGGGCATAGAGTCGTTGGCACAGAGCCCCGGGCAGGCCTGGCGAGGTGACAGCACTTATTTAGGGCACAGGGTCTGCCAGCGTCCGAGCAGGAGCCTGGGCTCAGCTCCCTGCGTCTTTCCCCAAGCACTAGGGCTGAGAGAGGGGGTGGTATCCCTGGGTGGTGTTGGGGATCAGGAGACTGGGTCCAGAGGGGGCCCGGGGTGGGCTGCTGAGACCGGGTGTCAGATCAGCTCCTCTGCCTGCTGTGACCCAGCATGGGGTGGGGGTGGGGCCCTTTGGGAGGCCCAGGCAGCGGGTTCTTGGGGTCCTTCAGGGGAAAGATGGCTCTTCTGAGGGGTTGGGCTCCAGCGGTGAGAAGGGAGCATGCCCACCCTCTCTCTCAGCTCCGCCTTAGCCCTTTCACCCGTGTTCGAGTCGGGGTGCAGACTGGGAGGGGAGGGACCGCCTGAGGCCAGAGAATCTCTTCTTAAGTCCGCGGCCCTGTGAGCCAGGGTTGCGCTCTGACCGGCCCCCATGCTGTGAGCGAGGCAGGCCTGAGGGGGTGCTGCACTGAGGGGGGGAGGCAGGCAGCACCAGCGTTAACCAGGCTGGGCCCGGGCCCTGCCCCACTGGTGCCGCGTCTGATGAGGGTCTGGAGACCCTTCTGGCTGCAGCGACTTCCAGAGCACAGCTCCTGCACCGGGGCCCCAGCGCCTTCTCGGCTCCGGGCTGGGAGCTGGCCGGCTCCCCGCGGGGCCCGTTAGTGTATGGGTGAGCCTGGCGAGGCCACTGGCTTAGGGCTTAGGCCCCACAGGACCTGGCCCCACGCCGGCCCTCAGGAGGGACGTGGATGAGGTTTGGCCCCCACCTTCTAGGTCTTGCCCCCTCCCACCAGTGGCCACGCCCGGAAGTCCCTACCCAGCCAGGTAGGGGGTGAGAAGGGAGCATGCGCACCCTCGCATTACACCCCCAAGCTGGGCTGGCACAGCCCCTGGCGCATGGGGCCTGTCCGGGGAGTGGTGGCTCTCGCCTGGAGGAGGGAGGCGGCACTTTTCCTCTGACGTTTGCTTCTGCCCCCTGCCCAGGAGGGCCAGGGCCTGGGCATCTCAGCACCTGGGCAGGCCTGGGCCCAGGGACTCAGCCCTTTCTCTGCCTTGCCTCGCCCCCTCCCCAGCTGCCCAGGTCCGCCTAGGTGGGCCCCTGGGCTCCGTGACTTTCTGCCCCCCTGCGCCTCCATCCCAGCTCCCCGAGCTGGCCTGTCTTCCCCTCGTAGCCCGGACACGTGCAGGCCGTCGCTGCCCCTCCTGGCGGTGCAGGCCCGGTGCCCTGGCCTCCTTCCGGGCTCTCCTCTCGGCCTTGTGGCCCGAGAAGGCAGACAGCGCTCGGCATCTGATAGCACTCTCGGAACAGGAAGAGCTGTGGGCGCCGCCCCTGTGGCTGCCGTTCTGCGGGGGCCCTCGGGGCGCGGGGCCTCTTCCCCTTTCCCTCGGCCCTGACCGCTGGCTTGGTCTCCCATGGCCTTGCTGTCGCTCAGGGGCCCCCTCCCAGGGCAGCCTCCGCAGCCAGTACCCTCGCGCTGCTGGCCATGCCACCCTAGGTGCTTGCTGCTGTGCCCTGGGCAGGCGCTGGGCTGCCTGCTGAGTATGGGAGCAGTGACCACCTCCTGCTGACTTCTCACTGTGCCCCTTCCCAGGCCCGACGGGCTGATTGGCACCTCAGAGCGTCACTCTGACGGGGCACGGGCCTGAAGCTCTGTCCCCACCAGTTACCCCGGCACATCAGAGACCCAGCCCCTCCGCCCTAAGCTCAGAGGTGAAAACTAGGACCCCAGCTGTAGTCAGAAAGTCGTGTGACCTGATTGGGATGGGACTGCCGCCGCGGCCAGCAGCCCCTGGGCGCCTGACTTCCTCCCCGGCCCTCCTGTGGCCCTCGGCCTCCTGGCGGGCGGAGGTAGCCATGGCGCTCGCTTAGGTAAATAAAAGCAAGAAAGGCCTTGTGAGGCCGAGGTTCCTCACGGGGAAGGGGAGGGAGTCCCCCCGCTGGCCCTGCTCTCGGGGCGCTGGGCTGGGTGGGGCCCCTGCCCTGACCGTGGAGCATGCAGGAGGCCCCCCCGGGCTCCCAGCGCCCTCCTCCTGGGCTTTGTCAGACAGAGCGGGTGGTGGGTGCGGGTGCGCATGCCCTGGAGATCCCCGCATTGCTCCGTGGGTGCGGCCAGCCTGTGGGAGCGGGCGCCGGGAGCCGGGTTCGGGGTGGGTGCGGCTGCCAGCGGGCCAGGTGCCGTCTCACTCGGCAGCTGCCACGCCCTCGCCTACCTCTCCAGACCGGTCAGGTCAGCCTCCGCAGGGGCGCCTGCCACTGAGTCAGCTTATCAGGAAGTGGACGAGGGGCTGGCGGCCCAGTGGTCACCGCCCTGAGCTTCTCCTCAGACCCCTCTCCTGGGAGGGAAGGGTGTAGGGCCCGGGGCTGCCACGCTGGCGGAGCCTGCTGGCTGATTTGCCTGGCACGTTGCTCTTTCCCCCGGGGATCCTCAGGAGGCCTCAGACCCTGAGCCACGCAGCCGTGGAGTTTCCGGCGGGCGGGATGGTGGGGAGATGCTGTGCGCCCTGCCCAGCGGGCGGTGCCGGCTGGTCTTCCATCAGGAGCCGGTGCCGGCACCCCAGGCTCCAGGCTTCGGTGGTGTGGACTCCGGCATTCTCACCGACAGCTGACAGTCCCCAGAGCGTTCTGTCAGGCAGGCCCCGCGCTCCATGCATGACACACATGTGCTAGCTCACCTCACTGCTGCCATTCCCATTTTGTGGATGGGGCACTGGGGCTCAGAGCGGTGAGCGCCTTGCCCGAGGGCCACAGCTGGTGAGGGGCAGGGCTGGAGTTTAGCCCCGAAGTCACCTCCATGTGCCTGGGGCAGACCTGCGGGCGACGGGAGGGGCTCCTGGGAGGGGCCTGGCACCGCCCTCCACAGCCCCTCAGCAGCCCCTGCCGGGGCTCCCCCCCCCCCCCCCCCCGCCCCCGTGCTGCTCTGGTGTTTGCCGACCTCTCCTCCCGGCACAGGACTCGGGGGCGGGTGGACGGTGGTGATCCCGCAGGGTCAGTGTGCGAGGACGGGTGGCTGCGGGGCCACCTCAGATCGGCGCTGGGTCAGCCACGCCGTGTGGTCCGCAGGGCGGGGCGGCGGGGGCCTCGGGAAGAGCCTGCCTGCTCACGTCCAGGTCTCTGGCCTGAGAAGGGCATGGCAGGGTGTTGACCACCTGCCTGGCGTGACAGCTCCGTGCCCGCCGTGGGTACCACTTCCCCCGGCAGGCCTGTCCGGCAGGATGTGGCTGCTCCCAGCGGGGCTGCTGGGAGGAAGGGCTTTGTGCAAGAGGCCGTTGTGGCGGGCTTGAAGGACGAGGCCGGGGAGGGGCTGTCCCTCAGGTTCACCCCTCACCCGCCCCCAGGCCTCTGTCGGGGGAGGGGCTCCCTCTTCTCGCCGAGCCTGGGGTCGCAGCAGGTGGAGGCGGCCACGGGGTGTCCTTCAGCGCCGGCTGTGCGGGGCCCCGGCCTGCCCGGCAGCAGAGGGATGCCCGCCGCGGAGTGCCCGGGAAGCCGTTCTTCCCCGTGGGGCATCGCCGGGGGAGACCCCTGCACGGGGCCGCCCGTGGGGCTTCTTGCTCTGAGCCCCCCAGCTTCCTCGGGGCGCAGCCGGCCACTGGCTGCCGGGCCCCGAAGGTGATGCCGGGAAGACCCGGGTGAGGTGTCCCCGCACCCCTGGCCGTGGCGTGCGCCCAGCCCCGCGCGCCGGGTCTGTGGGTCGGGGCAGCGAGACCCCGGCTGCCGGCTTCTCCCTGGGGCGCTCGGGCTCTGCCTCCCTCGCCCGACAGGTGCAGACCTTGCCTGAGCCCACGTGAGGGGCGGCCGGCTGGGGGAGGAGCAGGCTCCGGGCTTGAAACCCTCCTGCACTCTCTCCCCGAGTGGCCG